AAGATGTGAACTTGCAAGCAGGATATTGTAGTCCCACTATCTGAGATGCCATTGAGTAACAAGGTGCTTCAAAATTATATTGATGAAGAGCAAAAAGATTTTATGAAATGTGAATGCATTATAATACATGTAGTTGCCATTGAATTCAATATCGCAAAGATTACCTGATATCTGTTTGTCTTCTGTGTCACAGTGAGCTGAGTTCCAAGCTTCAGGATACATTAGAAATGATCGAGGTAAGAGAACAACTTGGGCTACAATTAATGAGCTGAACTACCATTTGTCAATCACTAGGTGATTTTGCCTGGTACTCGGGATATATTTTGAGCATAGGTTAATACTAACAAAGGAGATTATTCATCCACCGTTTCTGTTGCTCAAGATACTTCTTGGTACATGTACATCATTATTACCCCTGCTGACTGAGCCTATAAACATCGCTAAAATCATCCCTGCTCCCTGGTTAGGTTACCAGCTCAATGCTGACATTTCAGGTTCAAGTGGCTTACCAAACACACCAATCTTCTCTATCCTCATAGGTACCTACTTACACTTCTGGGTAGAGGGAGACAGTGCAGAGAAAAGTGACTTGCACATATTGACCAGTGATAGATGAAGGGTTTTTTGAGTGAACCTGGGCAAATATAGAACAATCACATGGTACCAGTATAACAATAATAACAATGCATTTAGATAAAGTGCCAAATCTGTAAAAATGCTCCAAGGTGCAGATACAAAATACAATAAACACAATAGAAACAGAGCAATCTATAATAAACAATTAAACCCAGAATACCTGTGATACATACATGTACATGTACGTATATTGCTTGAATGGTATTTACTGCTTCCAGCAAACATTCTATCAACTGGCCAGTATTCTTTTCCTAATTACTCAGTGCAGTAGGGCATCAATTTAAAAGTTGAATCTAATAGTTCTCAGTCAGACATCATGAAGAATGAGGCAATAGTCTGTCATTTTTCCTGGTTCCTATTGTTTTGGGGGTTGAGAAGAGTCTTGAGGATCTTTTAACCGGCATTGAAATGCAGGATTAAGATCACCTCTGGACATCTGAAAATGACAGCCTTTTTAATGTGTTATTCCACTAACTCAAAGTCAACATAATCACACTGCTAGCCCATTCTGGGTGCAGCCTCATTAACGTTGAGTTAGAGTACCAGTTTCAATAAGGTACCTGCAAATGTGCCAACTGTACATGTTGCAATGACAGGTGTCAAGAGTTAAGCTTTATTGTCGTCAGTGTTAGCTGACTCGATAATGCACTTGCATTTAAATGAACATTGTCAACATGGAATAGCATTAACATTGTATACTTGACTAGAAGGCCCGTGTACCCCAGTATATCAAGGGAAAATCAGAGTTGATAAGTATTAGGACAAATGGGTTTATCTAAATCCCAGGTGGGACGTGTCTGGTTGCTGGTTTCCTTTTGTAAAAAGATGACTCATTCATTAATCAAGGCAACCTCTTTGTACACCAACAGGAGCAACTTGACCAAGCCTTAGCCAAGACCTGTATGAACTTTGATGTCAAACACTATGAGAAAGTTCAAACAGCCTACACACTCTTGGGCAAGACACAGGTAATTGGGGGAACTCACAGACTATTAGTAAACACTTAGTTTGTGTTTTGGTCAGTTCTTTTTAGCAAGCTGCAAAGCAAATGTGAGTCTATGTAATACCAATTTCTATTCATCTTGCCAGCCATCTGTGCCTCCGCTTTTCACATTATAATTAAGTTGTTGATCACAGGTATATGCATAATAGCATGTCATTTCTGTCTGTTTTTGCTTTGTTTTCATCAATACCAAAACCTTATGTAGGATTATTGGCTTGAAGTGTCTTTTTAATGATTATTGAATGGAGAAAGTTTGAAATATAGAAAGTTTTAAATTCCTAAAGTAATAAATTCAAACATTTCAATGTATTACATGTACAAGTACAAAAATGTAAGTACATGTACAGACACACAGTGCATGCCTATAGAGGTTATGCACAGCAGCCATCTGGCATATCAGTGCTTTTGTTATGGGGGATATGCACAAAGGGTCTACTCATGCATATCCCTGTGGAACAAAAACACTGACCGGGAAGATGGCTGCCATGCTTAACATGTGTACAGATTACATGTACACTAACAGTAAAGCATTTGAAATCCATTGACTTTCCCAGAAAATACTAATCCCGAATAAAATAAGAGAAATATTCTAAGATTAAATGCAGTTTATCTGCCAAAGTGATGCAGAATTTTTTTGTAACCATTCACTCAATATGCTGAAATTTTTGTGCCTCCAACATTTTGAGAGGTCTTTGTGAACATGTAAAGGAACCAGGAAATAGAAATATTTTTATTAATTTTACTAAAAACCCTTGAAATTGCATCTTTGGGTTTCAATTAACTTGATTTTAAATTTTTGTTTTGAAATTTTAAATCCATATTTTGATGCTTTTTGGTTAATATGCTAATGTTATTTGCATATTTATGAGCAGAACTATGGTGTCATCCAAGGCACCGAATTTCAATGTTGCATTGATTTGTGCACAGAAAATTTGCCAGATTTTTTTAACCACTGCTATGGCAGATTTTATTTTCTTTGGCAATTTATTGCTGTGTAAGTATAAGCAATAATCCAGCAAAAATCCTTTTCACAGAAATGTTCCCAGATAGCAAATTTGGGATTCACAATTTTAACATGAAACCTTGCAACCTGAACCATGCCTTCCTGGATTTACATCAAAGTAAAAGCGCCCTAGCTTGTCCAGAAATGCTTGGTCAAGTTTTAATGTTTGAAAAGTGCACCGTTCAGTTCAAGAAACTCAAACAAGATGTCAAACAGTCTTCACATATAGCAAAAGAGTACAGAGATACATGTACACAAAAAGTGATTCTAAGAAAACTTCCTGGTGCCTTTAAGTTTGAGTTTCACAATTACAGAAATGAGAAATGTAAATTAAGAAAACCAGATTTTCAACTTGACTTCTTTCTTATTTATTTGCAGACAGCCATGGATCAGTTACACATGCACTTCACCAGTGCAATTCATAACTCTGCTTTCACCATCGTTGTGGGCTACGTAGAGCTCATGAGTGGGTCAGAAGATACCAACTTCCAGAAGATGCAGTACAAAGACCTCTGTAGTGTATGTTTGTTATCTTTGCTCTTGTTTTGGTTTGGCACAGATGTGACAGTCAGAAAGCTCTGAATCGGCCAAGAAAATACAAAGTGGCAATATGCTTTGTAGTTGGGGAGGGGTAGAAATGATGTCAAACACTACAGCATACTATTTGTCATTGTCAAAAAAAACTGTGAAAAGCATTTACCACTCGCCGCCGGGGATTCTGGTTTCAGACACACATGCTTTATACTCGTGGCCGGGGTCTCCGAAATCAGACAAAAGAAACTGGGCCTTGTAACAAAAAGGCCGTACTCATAGCAAAGGACCAGGCTGCTGGGAATCACCAACATTTTTTCACTCTCAGACGTGGAGATAATCCAGCCTTGGTTTGAAACAGTATACCTTGGTTTTGAGGATTACCACCAGGGACAAAAGTGCTCCACCACTGCAGCGATGAGCCACACAGCACCGCTGCACGCTAATCTGGCCCCTATTGAAAAGAGCTCAGCAGTGCACTGTGTCAGGTTCACGAACAAAAGAAAGTTACATAACACCGCACGATCTGGGCTCTTTTTACAAGGCTGCAGGCCTGGCTGGAATACTCGGGCGTCAATAGATTTTGTCTGTCAGATTAGAGTAGCCACCAGACAGTCATTCGAGTGGGTGTAAACGTCCATTAATTGAAATGATAAATTTTTGAAGATTTTTGAAAACTGGAAATCTCGAAAATGTCCCGATTATGTGCACTGCATTTTTCAAACCACCCGGCAGTAAGTGGTTAACAAGATCCAAGAGGTCAACTGTCTGAAAACCAAACCGCCTCAAAACTCCCACAACACCAACCAATGAAAGAGCCAATGGAGATGCAGAATTGTGTTAGCTTAGCTTACTGCAGTATGTGATTGCTGACTACAGTCTGTGTAACTATGACACCTTGTTACAGCTGGCAGGGATAGGGGCATGGAAACCCTTCTCTTAGTAAACTTCAGCACACATGGTTTCAAAACTCTAATTTTTTTTTTCTTGTTTAACAGCATGTCACCACAGACACCTACATTCCATGCTTGGTGGACCTCTGCAAGGCATTATGGGAAGTGATGAAAAGTTACTACAAGACAATCGAGTGGCATGAAGCAAATGAGGATCCAATCAGCCCAATAGCAAAGGAGCAAATAGGTATGGCGGACGTCTCAGAATGAAGAATTCTAATATTTACATCACAGATTGTAGCCATATATATGTACACTGAACAAACAGTCTGATAATGCTGTGGATGTGAGGAGTTGGAACTTGAATGAGCACACTGTTGAGTGTACAAAACAATAGATCTGTATGAGATGACTAGAGCAGTAACTCTTCATGTCATTTCAGAGAAACCATGCCGCTGTCCAAAGAGCAGGACTTTTGCGAAGTAAGATGGAACAAATTCTGAGTGATGCACTCTAAATGCAACACGCAGTACAACATATGCAACGAAATATGCAACAACATACGCAACAACATATGCAACAACATATGCAACAACATACGCAACAACATATGCAACAACATACGCAACAACACATATGCAACAACATACGCAACAACATATGCAACAACATACGCAACAACATATGCAACAACATATGCAACAACACAGCAGGGCATTGTCTGTCAGTATTATTACTCAGTACAAAACATACAAGCATGTTCATGTGTTTGCATTGCTTTACACCTACATGTAGCAACATTAAGTACTGATTTACTGATTTTATGTTAAGGTTTCTGGCATGGCAGCTTGTGGATCCATCTTTCTGTAATACAGAAGTGGATATGCAAATAGCCTTACTAAAGCCAAACAAAATTTTGCACAGTTTTGTGAACAAACATGAATAATACACCCAGGAGGCTTCACTTAGTCTGGCGACTTAGTACTCTAGAAACTGAATATAGCACTGTCTCACAGGTGTTGACAGCACAATCCAACAGTGAACAACTCGTTACAACTTTATACAGGAGCATGTGGCCTAATGGTTAGGGTTTGTAGCATCTGATCATAGGCTTGGGGTTCGAATCCAGCTTGCTGCAACATGTTGTGATCTTGGGCAAGTCACTTTACCCCCATGTGCCTCTCTCCACCCAGGAGTAAAATGGGTACCTGTGAGGGTAGCTTTGGTTATGTTTAGCCATTTGTGCCTAATATGGCAGCATTAGGCTAGTATCCTCCCCAAGGAGCTCAGATGGTTTCAGAAATGTTCAGATGATGTGAGCCCAATGAGCATGGCAAGGATAATGATAATTAGTGCATAGCAACATTCCGTAATATGTGCTATGTAAGAACTGACTATTATTATTATGTGGTTGCAACAGTGTTATGATTATGAGCTCATGCAGGGAGGGCTGAGTTGGTTTGCTATTTCTTCGTACTATTCCTGGATGCTGGTACTTAAGTGCACAGTATTGTTAGTGAAGAAAACTTCATGCCAAAGAGATGAAACATTCACACCTCTCTTGCTGAGCTGTTTTGGTACTTTCTAATATCCTGGCTTTAGAGGAAGCTGTTGGGACTGATATGGAGGCTTCATTCAATCGTCGTTACATCAAGACTAAATTAGGACATGGTCTGACTAGAATCTGGCAGGTAAGATACCTGCTACTACCCTGTGGATTATGATGTAATCTCATGACATCTCATATCAAGCAAACACGCCGTTATCATAGACAAGTAGTCTGAATTTTGGCTCCCACTGAAGGTTAATTAAACACCTTTCTTTCTTTTTTTTCAATTTTTTTTAAAGCATGTTTATTTTGTCTGTTTTGAAAATCCAAGTCCTGTATAATGTGTGAAAAATTCTATTGACATTGGAGAACTGAGGAATGCTTAGAAAAGTTAGCTGGGCATGGACCACTTGAATTATTTACTGCCTTTCATTCCCACCTGTGCAAACCTGAAGAATGATAAACCTTCTTGGGATCCTACTGCCCTGTTGTTTTGGCAGCCAAGCAGGAAGAATTCACATGTACAAATATGCAAACACAAGGATTGTGAATTTGACAAATGTATTGTCCAGCCAATAGTCAGTTTTCTGCATTCAAATATGCAACAACGCATGACACCATCCATTTTCACCAGACTGTTTTGGCATGGTCACCATTGTTATTTCCAATCTTTATGCTTCTCTTTCCATAACCTACTTTGTTCCATTTTGCAATGGATGACTTGTTGCTTCCCTCAGTGCCACAGATTTGTTTCCAAACCACACGTCTAGATTGATGTTAACGTGTAAATTATGAAATTCTTTGCTGTAAGATTTGATTCAGATTCAAAAGAATCCAATAGTTGAACTAACAGACTTGTATCCAGGGTAACACATCCAGGGTAACACATCCAGGGTAACACACTACCAAATTCCTATCCTTGAGAGTACATGGACGCTGTTGTGTTCCTGTTGACCTGGAATTGGGCTATTTTTCTTACAGGATGTACAGCAAAAGGTCAAGATATTTCTCCTTGGAACTGATTTGTCCAATTTCAAATATGATGATTTCATCCATGTCTTAGATCTTGTTAATAGGTAAGATATATAAACAGCCATTGTTGCGTGAGGTTGAAACGGGAAATTGAAAAGCAAATTTCATTGGGCAACATTCCTTAAACAACATAGAAGGACTGAATGAAAAGTACTTGATTGAAAGTGCCATTGCTGTAGGTTATCTCAAAGTTTGATCAGTGTTGAGTTTGTTTGACAAGGGATCCCTGCTGGAAATTAGTTTTGTCATCTACTCTTGAAATGTTGCTGACACATCAAAAACGTTTTGGTCCAAGTGTAAAGTAAAAGCACATAGATCCATTATGGAAGAGATACAACAAATGAGTGATGTTCAGTTGGCTCTTTTACTTTTAAGACTTATTCGCGTTGGTGAGGAGTTTTGCGGCAGTAAATCAGAGAGTCTTCATGATTCTGTGAGACAACAGAGTCTAAACTACTTCAAGAACTACCACAGGTAAAAAAATTATGTTGCACCCATTGGCAGGGCCTCATTGACATCCTAGAAAGCTCCTATCTTTTTTCTTTTGACTGAGGCTTCTTTTAGCTATCTAGCCACAAATACCTTGTACACATTACTTTGCAACTATTATCATGCAAACTGTATTTAAATTTGCATTAATTTGAGACATTTCAGCAGTTAGTTCTTCACAGTATTAATTATCTGATACCCGCAGGTCTCGTCTGGATGAACTCCAAATGTTCCTGGAGAACGAAGGTTGGGAACTCTGCCCTGTCAAGCCCAATTTCACCATCACCAATTTGCATGAGTTTCGCTTTGTTCGGCTGACAGGCCTGACTCCAAGCACTGACCGCAGTAACCCGTCCAGTCCTTCCATTCAGAGTCAGGCTAAGGATAGTTTCTTCAATCGATTTGGGGATCATGGGAGTCCATTTGACCGACGAATGGATGAGGAAGAAGGGGAAGAAGTGATTGGAACAAATGGGGTAAGTCATAAAAGTAGCTTCATAAAATCCATTTTTGTCCATTTTTACTTTTAAGTGCTGAGGTTTTTTGATTGAGTTTTCCAATTTTTGGTTCAGGTTGAAGATATTGATGATGAGTCCCATGGTAATGAGGACTCAGATGATAGTGATGTACCTGATGAACTCAAACAAGATTTCATTGATGAATTGACTGAAGAGAAGCCCATGAAAAGGTGTGTAGCCCCTTGGTGATGGAATACATAAAGTGTGTGTTACATTAACATGCACAACATTCTTCTTATGAAATACCACATAATGTTACAGAACAGTGCATTACTACATGTATGGAGCGCCATAGGAAAAACTGACATATGCATGCACCATGTACATACTGCTGCACACACAGACACTATACAGTGTCTTGACACTGACTCCATCAAGGTATTGTGTTTGTACCAATGAGAATATTGCTCTGTACTCAGCTGGAAACAAAGACAATCTGGTACTCAATATAAAAAGACCAGTGACAAGTATTTATACAAGCCATGCACTTTAGTCATCTATATGGCAGCAGCATGGATTTATTTGGGGAGGTTTTTTTTTTTTCGACCGACTGACCCTCCCTTGATTGAAAAAAGATATGAGAACCATAGAATGTAAAAAGGCTGTCCTCAGTTGAACAAAATATTTTTCTGTTGCATGGTAATGATGTGATGAATTATGCCCTTAATAAACTATTGATGTAGAACATGTCATGAAGTGCACTTTGGTGTTGGCAGTAGCATCCTTTGCATATCTGTACATTTCTGACTGTCTTCATAAAACATTCTACAACTGTAGAGTCCTACACATTTTTTGTTTTCTGTAGTGTTAAGAAGAGGAGATCCGTCACAAAAGGTCCTGTGCCAATTCTAGCCAACACAACACTTAACGTTCTACGACTCTTTGGTAAGCTGCAGTTTATAGTTTATGAGGGAAGGTAGTACACAATGTCTGGTCTTGGGGTGTTGGTAGGTTTGACTTCCCTTATCGTGAGATGTGAATATATATAATGCACTATGGGTAGAAAACCTTCAAACTGTGTTGGCTTCATTAGGATATAGTTTTACTGTAAAAGGAATCAGTATGATTTAGTGGATTCCAAACTTTAAAGTTCAAGTCTTGTGTTTGTGAATGTTTCTCTACAAGTTGTCACACTGCTCTTCCTATTCAGGCAAATACATGCAGATGATGACAGTTCTTAAGCCTATAGCCTTTGATGTTGTTCTGTGCATGTCACAACTCTTTGACTACTACCTATTTGCTGTGTACACCTTCTTTGCTACAGACATGGTAAGTCTAAAAGTACTCAACTACTGTTTGCACTGTGAAACACCATATC